AATTCTCTGCCAGCAGGAGGTGCTTTAAAACGGGAGAAACCGAGTTTTCCCCGGTAACGGCTGTACACAAAACAGCGCTGAGCTCACAAACGCTGCTTTATCAGGCATATAACATGCAAGATGAAATGAAAATGACACCGAATTTTTTCCTTCAGAGATAGTGATATAAAAACACCCACGCCATGTTTTGATTTTTAAACGTGCAGTATGTGCGCATGTTTATTCAACCAAGCCTTTTGGAAAATCGGTCAGTTTTGATATTGTGGCGAGCGCCACAAATAAATAAATGTATGGGAAACACATCCCACAGCACAACCACCTGAGCCCAACTTCAGTCTACTCATCACCTTAACTTTAACTGTGTTTGTAGCCGGCACCATAGCCAGACTGATAAACAAACACAGACCAGAAGTTAACTTCAGGCCAGGTGCGTGCGCCCTTTGAAACGTCTATATAAAGCTTGAAGCATCAGAATCGGCATCGGTATCGGCCGATCACCATGACAAGAAATCGGTACTCTGTATCGGCTGCAAAAATCCTGATCGGAGCATCCCTAATGATTACAAATGTGATACTGATATTTTACAACAGCTCAAAAAAACAAGTTAATTAAGAGACTTGTGTTTTAGACACCATATTTCCTGTTTTTGTTCTATTTCGCCAACAAAAACAATTCCAAACAAAGCTGCAATATGACGATGTTTTGTTCCTGAACGAATCAACCGTTTAAATGATTCAGTTCAGTCGCAATGACTCACTTATTAACAGTGACTTACTGCCACCTTCTGGCGGTTTTAATTTCACATTTAAAGTATCTTTTCATTTTTTAAATAATTTCAAATATCAGTATTCAACTTTTTATGTTTAATATATCAAAACATTATTTATGCATTTGTAACTGCAGGTTAAATGCATTCATGTCCTGCATTAAACAGTGTGTAAATACATCTAAATGCCTCTTCAGATGCAGCTTCTGTGTTTCCTCTGCATTGCAAAGATGAATTTTGTTGATACTGATTTAATTTGCCTGGTAACAGCCCAAATGTCTTATTATTCTAACTCACTGATTAAATGTAAGCATTTGACTCAAAAGATGATGGATAAAAATGGCTTTATAAAGGTAAAAATGCCCATAAAATGTAAAAATCGATTTAAACTTATTGGAAAAGATTAATTTCCATCACTGCTATGAACTGATCACCACACAGAATATGAAGAATATCAAAAACTTTAGGAGTCAAGCTGTCCACGCTCCTGCACACACACTCAGCAAAATATTGTCTAATTATCGTTATCGATAAAATCCCAGGAAATATCGAGATATTATTTTTTGTCACTAATACTGACTTGTCTTTCGCTCTCTTGAGGTGGAGGGTCTGCTGGATCTGTTGTCTGTGAGTGGGCCGGAGCAGCTGGAGGCTTTGGGTCTGGAGCGGCTGAAGAAAGAGCTGATGGAACGAGGGATGAAGTGTGGAGGAACGCTGCAGGAACGGGCTGCACGTCTGTTTTCCGTCAAAGGACTGAGCCCAGATCAGATTCACCCTGCGCTCTTGGCCAAACCCACCAAGGGCAAGAAGAAATAGCTTGCGTATCTTAAGCCACAGTGTTTTTAACCCATTTTTGCTTTGCTTGTGTTTGGCATGTGTGTAGTTATGTTTAAAGTGTTGTTTGTAAAAATCTAACACCTAATTTAGAAAAATCCCCAGTTTGGGACAATAATGAGTGCTAGATTTTTTATTTTTTTATTATAATGACATTACTGGTCAGATACAGATAACAATTTGGATTGAACTTTAAAGTTGAACTTTAGTCAACAATATATGGCATTTTATTATTATTATAATTTTTTTTTTTTTGTCTTTTTGTCTGTTAGAAAAACATGCCATGTAACAAAAGGTGAAACTCGGGTTAACTTTTTTGTAATCTGTACAAGAAATTCTTTATGATAGTTCAGTCACAGTAAATAGTTTTTTTTTTTATTCATACATACATACAGAGACATTCTGGTAATCAGTCATATGTTTATTATGTGGGTGGGAAGTCATTCAACGATTCATCAATTGTCCAAAAGATTGTTCATATTACACAGTATTTGATTGTATATGTGATCTGGTCCATTTTCCTCTTGACTTTATTATTAAGTAAAATATTGTTGCACAATTGTGTGCCCTGTTTGTTGCTCTTATTACTCTGTATCATGTATCTTTAGTGTATAGAATGTTAAAATAACATTTTATTAGACAAATACATACACAACATATTTGGTTTCTGATGCATAATAGGGTTTTATAAATATTGTGTAAATATAGATGCATTTTCCATCAAATGCAGTGATATCTGGTTATGATGAAAAGCATGAAACTAAAAATACACACAATAACATCAAATTATGCAAACAAAAATGATTTAGTGTGCTGCCTTATCAAGATTTAGGGAACTTTAGTATGTACTCCGAAACAGCAGATGGCGATATTGATACCCATACTGCTTCAACACATTCAGCTGAAGAAAACGCTGTTTTCATGCAGTTTGTGGAGTAGTTCTGGGTTTGTCGTAGTTTTACCGCTTTAAATGTCCACGTTATGTATATTTTTAGTATGTATCTGAAGCTGTGATAATAGTTATGGCGTTTCCGCAGCCGCGTCCTCAAGCGTCTCAGTTGCCGCAGCATCTTTTGCGGACCGTAGAGTGTCAACAGGGTGCTGTGAGAGCCGTGCGCTTCAACGGTAAGTCCATATTATTATCCACGTTATAATATTATATTGTCTGTATCAATTGTTGTCCATATTATTATTATTATTAAATTAAAAATGTTACCAGTAACGTTAGTTATTCTCAAGAAGCTAAAAAATATGTTTTTATTGGCTTTGATGGAGACCTTTACACCAACAGTATAAACGTAAAAATGTTCAACCTAAAAGAGTACCTGGCATCAAAAGAAGAAGAAAAAAAATCTATAAAATACTTTTTAAAATCCCTCTCTGGTAACCATGAAGGATTCGTGACTAAAGCGCTGAGAAAAGCAGGTACCACATGATGCTGCTGTGCATTATGACGCTGAGAGAAACTTAAAGGCACAATATGTAAGATTTTTTAATTAAAATATCCAAAAACCACTAGAACAGTGTTATATATTTTGCTAACTTGTGTACTTACATTATCCCAAATGTTTCGAAGAATTTTTAAATCCAGAGAAATAAGCAATTTTAACTAGTGACACGGACCGTGTCCATAGTGTCATTGTGTCGCCTGCCAATGAGAATACGTGCCCTCTAGTGGCAAAAATTACATATTGTGCCTTTAAGGTAGACCTTCTTTACTGAATAATGAAATTGTTCTTCTATCTATATATTGCATGTTCTTCCAGCTGATGGGAATTATGTGCTGACCTGCGGCAGTGATAAATCTCTGAAGCTGTGGAGTGTGAGACGTGGCCTAATGGGGAAGTCGTGGCCTAATGGTTAGAGAATCGGACTCGTAACCCAAAGATTGCGGGTTCGAGTCTCATACCGGCAGGGATTGAAGGTGGGGGGAGTGAATGTACAGCGCTCTCTCCCACCTTCAATACCACGACTGAGGTGCCCTTGAGCAAGGCACCGAACCCCCAACTGCTCCCCGGGCGCCACAGCATAAATGGCTGCCCACTGCTCCGGGTGTGTGTTCACTGCTGTGTGTGTGCACTTAGGATGGGTTAAATGCAGAGCACTAATTCCAAGTATGGGTAACCATACTTGGCCACATGTCACGTAACTTTTTTTCACTTTCAAGACTTACACCGGTCACGGATATGAAGTGCTGGATGTGGACCGGTACGTATTTCTGCGTTACATTTGGTAACACTTTATTTTGATAGTCCACTTTAGACATACTAACAGTAAGTAACTTTGCAACTACATGTCAACTAGCAGTCATTAGAGCATTAGTAGACTTTACATGGATGGGTCCACAACATACAACAGACTATGAGAAACTTTGCAATTATATTATTCGACTAACCCTAAACCTGTCTACTCTGAGAGTTAGTAGACATGTAGTTGCAAATTAATGAGCATTAGTTGACATGTAGTTGCAAAATTACTTATAGTTAGTAGAATGTGGACTATCAAAATAAAGTGTAACCTTACATTATATTAAAATACCATCGCTTTCGTGTTTGGTTTGCGTTCATTTTACTTACTTTTCGCAGTTCTTATGACAACAGTCAGCTGTGCTCCTGCAGCTCGGATAAAACAGTCATCCTCTGGGATGTGGCGTCTGGTCAGGTGACTCGCAGACTTCGCGGGCACGCCGGGGTGAGACGGTTACCGTTGCAATTTCCCGCCAAAATATTCTAGGGATGGGCGATACCGCTTATTTTGTTTTTGATACAATAACGATACTTTTGAACAGTGTTGGGGGTAACTCATTACAAGTAACGCGAGTTATGTAATCAGATTACTTTTTTCAAGTAACTAGTAAAGTAACGCATTACTTTTTTAATTAACAAGACAATATCTGAGTTACCTTTTCAAAAAAGTAATGCCAGTTACTTTGTTTTCCCATTTATTGACTGACAAGTCTCCTGTCCCCATATTGGGAGAAATCGGAAGTGCAGAGGCGTTGTGTGCGCTGTGTGAACATGATGTTACTGTAGTTCTAGACTAAATGTGAATGTGCATGAATTCATCCCACTCACAAAAAACAGATTTAGTATTCATCAAAATTAATTAAAACAGTGAAATGCGAACTCAGAATATGACGCAAACCTGCAATAATTAAATATGTTAAATAACAGAAAAAGTAATATAACGCATTACTTTCCATAAAAAGTAACCAAGTAACGTAATTAGTTACTATTTTAGGGAGTAACGCAATATTGTAATGCATTACTTTTAAAAGTAACTTTCCCCAACACTGCTTTTGAAGTCCAGTATATTCATATTGATATCGATACCGATATGATACTTCTAAACTGAACTTTTAAATTATGAAATTTATTAATTTATTAAATTACTATGAGTAAAATGGGTAATAATACCTACTTACCTTTATATTTGAAATGCATTTTAACATTCAATATGCCTTAATTGCAACTTATTAGGTTAGGTTGTGTATACATGGTTAAAATATGCTTACTGTAGTGGTAACCATGGAAATCTATAAATACTACAGTTGAACTACGGTCACTTTAGTAAAACCATGGTTCATTTTCATAAGGGACTGCCAGTGACAGGCTGTTGCATGCATAAAATGCAACCTTTTTATTCTGACAGTGTATGTATTTATATTAACATTACAGAATAGAACATGATCAGTATGAACTTTTAACATTCATTTGAAATAAATGTAATTGCACAAACTATGTAGGCTACAATTTCAATTAGTTTATTGTGAAATAACTCAAACATATATGTTTTTTCTGTCCTCTGATGAGCATTGTTTTGGGCTGCAAAAGTATCTTTTGGGAAACGCAGCCCTGTTTGAATGCACTGTCAGAAGTGAGTGAATGCTCTCTGTGATTGATTGGTTCTGTCTTGCAACATTTGCGTGTTCAGATGAGTGTTCAGATGAGCAGGAAAATAGTTCTATCCTACACAATTATTCACTTACATAGGTTATTCGTCGAATTTAATGCATATTGTATGCATTCATTTTTTGTTAAATAAACAAAATCACTCGTAAATAAAACACCTTATTATCGATATTTTTTATTTGAGTATCGATGCTTTCAGTACACGCATTAGTATTGATATATCGATACTTCAGGATCGATACGCCCATCCCTATATCATACTGCATTTATTATTTGCTTTTGCTAAGACAAGTCTCACTATTGCAGTATATTATTGTAAATAAATCTAATACATGTTATATAGGTGATTTGACCGCTAAAATTGTCTTATCTATCTTACGCTCGTTCTTTAGAAAGTAAACTGCGTGCAGTTTAATGAGGAGGCTACTGTGATGCTGTCAGGTGAGTCAGACTTGGCTTTTATCATAACTGCTTATGGAAATAACAACAGTCGAATCTCGATCTCACAATTTCTTTGTGTTTCAGGCTCCATTGATTTTTGAACCTAGAAGTGTACAAGGCTGGCTGTGCACAAAGGCTATTTCAAAAAAAAAAAAAAGGGTCAATTCCGACTTTGCTATGACAATCTGGCGCTTCTGAATCAGCGACTGTAAGTATGTTTTGTTATCAGTTTAAGTATTTGCTATTGACTGTTCAAATGCGGAGTTTTGCGCAGCGCAGAGTAATGCGTCGTGTTGCTTGTCAAAGGAGGGGGCTTTGTTGAAAACGAAGCGTTTGAGAGAGGCGGGGCATAGAGGACCTACAATAATGTTCAGTATTTGAAAAATAATGTTTTTTGAACATTAAAGCATGTCAACATATTCTGTTACACCAAATACACAAAACAATGATCTTTAAAATAGCATCATATGACCCCTTTAAAACTAGCAATGCTAGATGCCACAAGTCAAGAGTAGGGAGAACCTTGAGTGCTGTTTAAAAACAAAAATAAAAAAATCAATAAACGTGTTAATTCAAAACTAAAAATGGAAATAGACATCACTTCGACAATTACCAAAACAATATGCACATTTAAAATACTTAAAAGTTGAATGTAACAGTAGAATAAAAAATAAAATCGCTAAAAAGCATGGTTAAATGTAACATTAAAATAATGACTTTTCAAAATTACAAATAAATATGCATCTTCAATATCAGAGTAAAATAAATTAATAAATTACTTTTAAAAAACAACAAATAAATATGCATATATAAAACTGTTTATTTAATTCAAGTTTAAAAGCATTGTTAAACAACAATACAATTAATAAATCACAATTCAGATTAACAGCGGAGTTAAACAAGAGAGTAAATTAATAAATAATTTTTCAAATTATTCAAAACTATTTATTTAAATTGTAGTTAAACATGACAGAAAAATAAATGAAATCTCTTTTTAAATTGACAAATTAAGAGATGTTTAAAATTGTTTATTTAATTTTTACAAATTTAATTAAACATGAAAGTAAAATAACTAAATCATATTTAAAGTTAACAACATGCATATTTAAAACTATTTTGAAAAGTGTAGTTAAGCGGAACAGTAAAATAAATTAATATTTCAAACTGAAAAGTAAATATATTTCTAAAAGTTTAATTTATGTTAAAAATGTTAGTTAAAAGGAATAATAAAATAATACACACATTATTTCCAGTCCTCTATACAATTGCCATTTCAATGTTCATGTTATAATGTGTATGTCTATGGTGTTTCTTCACAGGTACTCTGGTCATGTCAATAAAGACTATAAGCTTGACTGCTGTCTGTCTGATAAAGACACACACGTTCTGAGCTGTTCAGAAGATGGTCATGTTTACTTCTGGGATCTGGTGGAGGTGGGCAGAATAAGTCACATGACCCACAGAAAAAAATACTTTGATAAAATGTCGAGTTAAATATGAGCAATAAAGCCTGTAATCTCTGCTTATAGGGCTCCCTGACTTTAAAGCTGCCTGTTGGGAAAGCTGTCGTCCAATCACTGTCCTTCCACCCAACGGAGCCCCGCCTTTTGACTGTTATGGAGGGGCGTGTTCAGGTGTGGGGGGCGGAGCCAGTGGATGCAGCTGTGGAAGACAGTGGAGTAGTGAACACCAAACACGTGAGCAGGACTCATTGAATATGACGTGTGAATCACTGTTTTGTATCAGTTTGATTGTTATTCATATTTTGTATGCAATAAAATATAGTTTATTTTAATTGCATATAGTTAATTTTTTATATTTTATTTATTTTTTAACATCTTAGTAGCTATTGCTTACAGTTTTTTATGTTGCCTTTTTTGCTAGTTCATTATTGTAATTGAGTCTAGTTAGTTAACAAAACAAACACTTTTGTTTGTATATTTAATCAGAACTGTACATATTTACAAGAAGAAAAATAAAGATGAACAATAATTTATTGGGTAGTAAAAATGTTTTTCAAATAAATAAATAATTTATAAACATAAATATCTTCCATTTTTGGTTTAAATGAACAATTCGTTGGATCAATCTTGACTCAGAATCGGCCACCCAAACACGTCATTGTGTTGTCATTAACCAAAACTCAACGTTTTGACATTCTCAAACACAATATTAGCCAATGTCATCAAATAAAGCAACATATACATCTTGATACATTTCAGTTCATACATATCCTGAATTAACGTACTTTAAACAGCCCTTATTTTACTTCAAGGCACTTTGTACAGTCTCTAAACCAACAGACAGTCTTTATGAAGCCAGATTTCGACTGGCCACCCTCGTTTTTAGCCCATACAGACACATGCAGCGGCAGAGAGCTTCTCCACTTTGTGCCAGCGATGGTGGTTGTCGAGAAAGGCTATGTCTTCGTGGTGTGTGGGGCGACAGCAGGGCTGATGGTGCCAATGGCCGGTGTATTGAAGGACGCCGCTTTGCAGGAGGTTGATGAGTGTGAGGTCGTGGTTGGAGGCGAGGCGAGGACAGGTCCCGCTGCAGTACTTAAACAGCACTGTCTCATCCGAGTCGTAGCCAAGACCAAGGTCTCGCACCTGCAGTAGGATGGAGTGCAAGGTGCAAGGGGACTCAACGCTGCGGGGCAACCGAATCGCCCTTTCCAACTGCCTCCACGAACCCTCCTTTTCCTCACCATCACCTCCTCTTCGTTCTTCACCACGGAGGTCTCTGTCTGAAAAAGAATAAGCAAAAAATAAAGACAATTTTGCATTCTCTGCTTGTGCCAAATAATGTTGTGAAAGGTTGCCAGAACATTGATGCATGGTTGCTTATGTTTTTTTTTTATCGCATCGATATGTGGTTGCTTACTGGCTCAAATCATGAGTCCTCATTTAAGTGTTTTTATTGAATTTTTTAGTAGAAATTGCTTGCCAGTTTTATCGTCTGCCAGCCAAAAATCATCTGATAACTTGAAAAGTAGAAGCACAACTTTTTCCAGCAAAGTCACATGATTTGAGGAATGAATTTATATTAGTAGCACTCAAGAAGATATTTTGAAGAATATTTAACTGTTTTTGTCCACACAATGGAAGTCAGTTGAGTCCAATATTGTTGGACCCCAGTGACTTCCATTGTACGGGCAAAAAACCTGCCGAAACATTTTTCAAAATATCTTTTGTGTTCTACACAAGAAAGAAAAAAAAATCCAGATTTGAAATGTCAATAGTGACCCTATAACAAATCTACAGAGATTTAGTCACCCTCTCCCCAAAGGTCATGACCCCCAGTCTTACCCAGTAGTGTTCTAAGCCAGTGTCCTTCTCCGGCTTGAACGCAAAAGAGCAGAACGGTGATCTTCAGTAGTGAACGCATTGTTCTTCTTTTCTTTGCCTGGTTTTTCTTTTTCAGGATGGGAGCGCAGGTGATGCTGAGATGCACCAGAGTCACCGTCTCTTTTATAGCCATCTAAGCGGGTCAGAGCTGTTGGGGTGGAGAGGATGATGGGGTGCGGCCAGGACGGGAGGGAGGCGGAATAACCCTTCTGCTCCCAGTCTCTCACCTGGTCTCATGGCTATGATTGGAGGCAACTTTATATAATTTTTTGGGAAGTCCACTGGTATTTCTCCAAGTCTTGAGGGGCTGAGAGTATGGAAAATGGGGGTAAATTGCTTAAAGCTGTGGGACGTCTGACAAGGGTAGTCATCTTGGAGGTTGAGCCGATTAAGCACATTGAATTGGGATTTTTTACACACATTTTATACAATACGATGAACAACGAAAAGCAAGGGTTAACTGCATGAAGGATGGAAGGAAGGTCCATAATTAAAAAGAACTAAATAGATGACAGAAGTTATTTGAATGGAAATTCCAAGAATAATGGCTGTCTTCAGATACATAAATTTGGGGATTTTATTAAAATGTGATTTTTTTTTCGCTATCTACATTCCTTATTTAACTATGAAGACATGAATCCTGCAGCGCTGCAGGAATAAGTGAATGTGCATGGCTTGCATTGATATCTCGTCTAAGCCGTCTTTTGTTATTTGAGTTGAGGGTTTTGTACAACAGACCCCAAATGTATTTGAACACTTAAATACACATTCGTTCCATTAGGTAGCAAATATCAAACCAATCTGTGTTTGCAAACAACAGTTACAAAATTACCTTAGTTACTTTCAAACAATGGACCGATTGTGATATTTAGTGGATGTTTGAATATGGAGATATTCTTTTTTTTTTTTTTTTTTTGCCTGAACCAATTAATCTTCTTTTTGTGAAATATATTACTTTAAAGTCTGTCTGTATTATTCTTTTTTAAAAGTGGGTTTGGGTTGGATATTTTGATTTTTATATTTCTTACACAATAGCATTCAAACATTTTTGTGTCTCTCAAGTGTCCAAGTAGTTTTTGGGGCCACTGTAAGAGGATCTTACAATTTTAAAATATAAAGGGTGCATTTATTTAAAATTGATTTAAAACAAAGAATGTCTCTTGGTGTTGATAAACTGCATTATGGCATCTGAAGCAAAATTAATATAGACCCTCAAAAAGATAACACCGTTGACTTTTTACAACTGTCAGTTAGATATTACCTGATTGTTCTAACCATGATGATAATCCCAAGTTTATTGTATAAAAAAGAATTTAATACTGACATAAATAGAAATGTCTTAATTTAAAAATCATGGTAACAGGGTTGACATTGTAAGCCATTTACTTGCCTTTACAGAGTTCACTTCCTAAAAGGATGTTGTAAGTTTGGCAGAATTATTGTAATAAAAAAAGTTCTGATGCTAACAGGGTTGACAGTTTTACAGTTCAGTTAGACATTACTTGCTAAACATTACTTGCATGTTAGAGATTATTTGCTAAACATTATAATACTTCAGGGTTCTTAATAGGAGAATTCAAGACTGACAAAATAAATGTTTAATTTTTAGTAATCATTTACTATTTCAAATCATGGTAACAGGGTTGACATTCTACATTTGTCTTCTATTGGTAAAACAGGAGGCATTTACTTGACTTTGCAGTGTTTAGTTCCTGAAAGTATGGCGATGTCATTTTGAAAGAACTATTGTAATA